ATTTTTTATGTTCTGTAGTAGACTTAAGGTACGTGTAGTCCATTTTCAACGTTGCTCTTTTTAGATGCATTACCTCATCACAGTGTTGCTATTTATATAACTGACCTTTACTCTGTTACTATTAATAGACGTGTTTAAAGCTGACAGTGAGTACCAAGAGAATGAAGATAGATACAAAGCAATCAAAGAGGAGATACTAGGGGAGGGGTCTTCGGATAATGAGGAAGGAGAGAGTGACGATGAGGAAGAGAGTGAGGGGGAGGAGGAGAGAGAAAGAGAATATATTGAAAAACACAAACTGTCATGTTGCAACTAAGGAGGACTGTATATCAATTAATTATAATGTCAAGGTATTTGTTTGTAAATTTATTATTATTTTATTATTATTATTATTATTATTATTATTACTATTATTTATATTATTTATTTATTTATTTATTTTAGTATAGATTTTGAAGAATGCGCACACAAGCTACATGTACTTAAAATGGAATTGAAACCAGGACAAGATGTTTGTATGTCATCCATTTAAATTTACTGCCTTTTAACTGCACCTCTTTCCAACTGCACCTCTTTCTGATAGTCTGAAGTTGCTAAGATGATAATTGAGTATTGCAGTCATGATCAGGGAGGTCCTATCAAAGGTTTTACGGTCTTTTGGGAGAAAGATTTTGCCACCTGGAGGAGAAGTGGGTAGAGAACTTTGATTCTGCCTTTCAAGAACAAGTAAGAGAGATCAATGCATTTATTTTAATTTTTTATTAATTTATTAATTTGTTCCTAGTATGCTACTGTACACAGATTAGAAACTAACAAACTCCGAAATACTTCAAAGTTTTTTGTGCAATTATTTTATACTGACGCATTGCCTTGGACCTGCCACTCTTGTATTCATTTAAATGAAAAAGAAACGAACTCCTCAAGGTATGTCATGTGACCATCATGTGACTGTTATTAATCATTAATAATCTCTTTTAGTCGTATATTTATGAAAATTTTATTTCAAGAGATCGCTGACTACTTGGGATTAAAGAAACTAAACAAACGATTGAAAGATCCGTATGTTATCATTATCACATGATTCTCATTTGACTTGGTTTTTTAGAACTCTCTCAGCTTTTTTGATGGCATAATGCCAAAAGATAATATCACAAATATGAAATTCTGCATTAATTTCTTCACTTCGATAGGACTGGGAGGATTAATGTGAGTATTGACTATTAATTAACTTATTATTGTCTTGTTAATGATATCATATGACATCACAATTATTATAATTTTGCTGTGTTATCACAATTTTTTTTAGTGATGGCTTGAGAGCACTCAGAGTAAATGGACCAAAGAACATTATTCAGGCTGATTCTGATTCAAGCTCTGGTACGTGTAGGTAGACTATTAAATCAATATTTATTTGTCTACGTGTATTTTGTTTTTCTTCATTTTTAAGATAACAACAGCTCTGAAGAGTCTACACTATCAAT